TTGTCTATGAAATTTGGCTTTTTCTATTCTGATTGTTTGTTCTTATAGTGCTCCACTATATATTGTTCCTTTGACATTCTCTGACAAAAGGGAAGAGTTTTGTGATTGTCAACGGAGATCATTGACGCGGGCGACATGGATGGATTATTTTTTTTGTCTTTTAGTGCTCCATTACCGTAAACCATTCATAGTTAATAATGGTTTTCCTGTTCATTCTATACATATGTGATACTTTATTAACATAGGGTATGTACCGAATTCATATGGTTGATGTTGGCCTAGGTCATCCAAGACCGATTCTGCCTCATCATCAAGTCCCATAGGCTCATTGAATTGGGAGCCGAAAACAATGTGATCAGTATAGTGGTAGTTGGTTAATGGGAAGAGGAGTGTGGTGTGAAATCTTGGTTGGGGCTGTCGAAGAGGTCGAGTGAAAGTCTGTTGTTTTCATACGGGAGTGGTGAGTGAGAATAGACCTACTGCATCTATTTCACATGTAAAACTTGATAACAACTATTATCTCTGCTTGTCTGACCTATTAGATTGGATCACTCATATGGAGGGAGTAATGGCTCTAAAATAACGCTAACATTTGTACACATCCTTATCAAAGCCTGGAAAGGTTCTTGGAACTATTGGATTTATATGACACCATTTTCGGATCCAGCTAGTGAACTTATGGTGCCTTAGCTTGGAAGCATCTTTTGAGAAAAGGAGGTCTTGACAACAAGGATCCAAAGGTTTTTTCTGTACATAGTTTCGATCAGCTCATCAATGAAAATGTTCTGGAAATGATTTGGAAACAACATGAAAACTGAGAAAAAGAAATTAGAATTTTGATTCCGAAACATCCCCAAACATTAGAAGAAACATTGTGAAACATGAAAATGTCAATCTTTCATTACTGTTTCGAATCGTTTTCCGGTGAAACAAAAAAAGCTTTGATCGAAACAATATAAACAAAACAAAATTTTGATCCTTGCTCGACAGACCCCAAGCTTCTATCCTTCCCCCTCTCTCTCTCATGTGCTCTCATTATTTCTATCTCCCTCATCTCACTAACAACATATCTTTGTGCCCTACCTTTTTTATGTTATCTCTTTAGTCACCTCTTTTTCTCCATCTTTTCTATGATTTCCCTCACCTCTTTTGTCCTTCAGTTCCTATTCTCTTTCCCCAAAAATTCCTCATGACATCCCTTTATCCTTGCATCTGCTCTTTTACATCATCCTAATATAACTAATAGCATGAAATTTTTAACAAGAAAATCTATTTCTTGTACACTTCTTTTTCTTTCATTCCAAGTTCAGCAGCTGATGCAAACAAGAGTTTTGCCCTAGTCAAAATATCCCCAATGTTTGATTTTTTAGATACCTACCTCTACATCCGTCAAAAATAGAGGGAAAGAAAATTATAACGCCAAAAGGAGAAGCAAAGATAGGAAAATTTGTGAATCATAAGTCAATTTTATAAAAGACATCAATCCAACAACAAAGTTAACCTTAAACATTGATAAATATCCGACACCGCTTAATTTTGAAATAAGGTTTACCTATAGAATTTTACCAACACTTAGTACATAAGTACTTCTGTGTTCAGAATTTTCGCCATGACAAACAGAAAAGGAACAAGAGATGTATGTTGAGCCTCCATCTGTGTGTAACATCTCATGCGCTTGGCAGATCGAGGACAACTAAAGCACAAGCAAGGATGCAACACAAAAAACAACCAGTGAAGACTAAGAAGGAAACTCTCTGCACGTAAACATCTCCTAACAATTATGAAATGGATTGTCTCAATCTCATTTGGAGATATAGGGTAAATAAATCAAACGGTTAGAAGAGTCTATTGCCTTCAATGGAAGGAGAGCGAAGCAGTCAACCAAATGATTGAGATGGCACTGACCTCTCGCTGATTTGCACGGTACGTGGATATGCCGAAAACATTGAACCTAACATCGTCAGCTTCAGAATCCCATTCAAATGGCCCCGACCAATTCTCTGAAGAAACAACAGGGCCACTGCTAGCATGGTTTCCTGATGATTCACAATTTTCTAATAGGGACTTCAGTTCAGATTGTCTGTCGTGCAACTTCTCTTGCCGATCAAAAAATATCTTTATCTGATCTAGAAATGGAGACATGGGTACATTAACATATGTCATATGCTACAATTGAGATACATAAGCCAAAATTTGTGTTACAAGATCAATAAGATTCAGTTAATAATGGACAGAAAACCGCAAATAGAATGGACTAAATATATTAAACTTCAACATTAAGATATAAGGTAAGAGACCCATAGGACAACCAAGTCGAGCAGCCAAATTCAAACATCATTTAATTCATATCAATATTCATAAGGAATAATGCTACACTAATAGAAATTCTACACAGAAAAATCTTTCCTACTTTTCTATAATTTCAAAACAAATATCCATCAAGGTCAGTCCTCTACAAAAAGCCACTGCCACGATCAGTATGCACGGAATGTTTGGTTAAAAACCAATGATCAAGACAATTTGAATCGGTGTAAAAAGTCGGGTATTGTCACTCCAGTATCAGTTACTTGACAGAACACCTTCAGTCCTTAAAAATTCGTAAAAAAATAAAGAAAAGAAAAGGAAATATCCAGCCGTCCTTGTAAACATTAAGAAATTCACACATATGGAACCCCAAATTACGCAACAAAACAAAGATAATAAGAAACTTGAAGCAGTAAAACGAGCAAAGCTTAAATTACATGGAGGAAGAGAAGCTGGGGGTATCAAGTAATTATTGATGTTTGATGAGAAATCAAAGGCAAAAAGACAGGTGTGGGAGACAGAGAGTAAAATGATTGGGAGGTCGAACCTTGGACGTCTTGAAGCTCAACCTCAATATTAAGAAGCTCCTCTAACATTTCTTCCGTACTTGCCATTCTTTGTCTTTCGTCCTTGCAGGTTCTGGCTGCTGCTTTTTTTAATCCTTGGTGGTAAAACACAAACCAAGACAGCGTCGGTTTTCCATACAAACCAAAACCAAAAATAAAAATGATAGGAAATTAATTTAAGTGCAAATAATTAATTGAAAATTTAATAGAGAGAATATGCGAGAAAAGGGGTGGGCTCCGACTCCGACGAAGTCAGAATCATATGTTCCGACCTCCAACTCCGACTTTGGTCGTAGAGAATTTTCAACCTTTCAAGAAAATAACTTTAGGCAACTATCATACTCCCACTAAAATAAACTAATCTCCTGTAAAACTTGAAAAATTAAAATCTTAAAAGAGTAACATAGTAATTAGGCCAGTTTACTGAGGGTTAAAAATCTAATTTTTTATATAATTCAAATGACAAAATAGATCTCAGTGTTAGATTCAACTTGCGAAATCGAGTTACGATTTTCATTAAACTCTGAAATAGTCTGAATTTTCATGTAAAACGAGACGAAACACACGATTAAATTCCAGCAACTTAGTTTATTGGCGGAATCCATAATATAAATGATATAGATATTTAAATAACACTACGCAAGCATGACACGTGTCAGGAGGTGATTGGCTCTTTTGGATTTTCAACTAATAGAAAGGTGACATGTGGCACATTATGAGTCAAGTATAAAAAACAAGAGTTAAAGGTAGAAAATTAGATTTTTTTTTCCATTCTCTTGCAATTTTCGTTGGAGAAAGAGAGAGAACACCAACTTCTTCATCTTCTCCATTCTTCTTCCTCTCATAATTCAAGATCCAACCATTGGATTATCAAATCCCAAGAACAAAAATTACTTTACTTGACGAAGACAACGTGACAACACCAATTTTAACCATTTTTCCCAAAATTTGGAAAAGCAAGGGTTGAGGCTAGGCATTGAAGAGTTATTTTTTAGTATTTTAAAGAGGTTTTCTTCTTTGTTTTACACTACAAGAGGTGAGGGTTCCTCCTATTTAGAATTACTTGCAATTCTAGTATAGGTAGAATTATGTAGAATATTTACATATCCACCATGTAGCTAGTGTAACTAGTGAGATGTTTGGTGAATTATTGAGCATGTTATGCCTATTTTTATTTGATTTTGGATGACGAACATGTCAAGTATGTGTCAAATGAATGGGTATGCAATGTGTTTTTTATTTATGCCCTCTAGGTGTTTGATAAAATACCTAACTATATGCAAGTGTGTTATTTTAGTTAATTAATGCTTATGATATGCTTGGTGATGTGCTAGAATGTTTATTATATGCAAATGCTATAGTTAACATTGTGTTTACGATTAAATTACAATGGTGCATTACATTACATATGCATGGGGCACACTACATTCTTGAAATATGTCATGATTTGTGAGTGTTACGCATGAGTTTAATCAATCACCAAATAGGTGAGTTGATGGATAGGGCTCGAAAAGTTTGGACCAAGGTCTGGTTAAGTATCATGGGATATTGCATAAAAGTGTGTCGAGGTATAGCTAGAAGATTTAGATTATTCCTCGGGTGCAAACCTCAATTTTGTCAGTCACACACTAGCCGGTGGTGTAACGAGTCCATAAAAATGTGTTGGTGTATGCGAAACATGAGGTGGGTTGCCCTCAAAATTCCATGTCGCTTTGGTAGCCCATTGGTGGAAGTCCAAGAATTACCAACCCCAATAAAAACACCAAAATAAATAAATAATCATGAGATGTGTATGACCTAATGGCAGGGGCTTGAAATGTCCAGTTTATGTCATGGCATTGCATTTATATGTCGTGCATGGGAACACAGTAGTGGGTTCATTTTTGTACATGCATTCATGAGACATCATTCATAGTTGACATGTTTAGTATCATTTAAATGTTACTTGGGTTATATGCTTGGCGTCGCAAATGTGCAGTCACATCATATGTATTTTGATTGAGATGTATTCTTTGGGCTTTGTCTCACCCCATTGTGAGAACATTTTTTGGGTATTCGCGCTTCCGTAGATGAACCTCCCATGGGTTCGGCTTGACGATGGAGTTAAAGTCCGGCTTTTTGTTTTGGACGTACAGTTGCTTAGGTCTCATTGTATTCATCTTGATCCTTTTATTTTGGTTATACAAACCTTGTACATACTTTTTAAGTAAAGGCATTGTATATTGAGGGACTTTATGTATCTATTCTTGTGACAAATGCATATTTTTACATTGAGAATTT